GGGGGGAGGGGGCAGGGGGGGCTGCCGCAAAGCAGCTCCTGTCTGCGACAGACCAGGCTGGGCTGCTGGGACTGAGCAATTCTGGCTCATGGTGGGTCCGGGACCTACCCCCCTGCGGCTCTGCATTTTAAATGTAGTAAGAGCTGGGCTGTCTGTACGCCCGGCTCTTACTGCATTTAAACTGCAGAGCTCCAGGACCCCGGTGCAAGCCAGAACTGAGGAAGCCTTCCCTTATCGACTAATCTTGTAGTTGATAAAAAATTGATTGACTACACGATTAGTGGATTGCCTGCCTCTTAACATCTTAAGTGGGTAGAGTCACCTCTCCCTGCTGTGGCAGATTTGGGGCTGGAGTTGGGGGAGGAGCGGGCTGGTGATGACAGGTCTGAGCTAGTATTCCATTCATGACCCACCTCTCCCCGCCACAGCAGATTGGAGACTGGGCTGCGTTGGAGCTGGGGGGAGGAGGGATGGCTCGACTCTGTAGCAGGACCCTGGATGGGTTCCTTGAGTGCCTGTGGGGCACTAAGTAGGCAGCTGTGCTACTGCACAGTGTTGCGGGAACTTAGGTCTGGACTAATACTTAAACATTGCAACTGTCATGATTTGGTACAAAATTTGTTAAATTCTGAAATCTTATCTGGTGATCCTGGCCGGCTTTCATAATTCTGTTTCAGGAGCCCTGCAGATCTCATCAAAACTCCACCAATTGATGGAGTCTGCCTCTGACTTCAGAGTTTGAAAACATTACTAAACTTTTATTTAACTAGAAATAAAAATAACATAACTGTAACAGTAGTTTTCAATAACCATTTTGTGGGTTATTTGCAAAAAAGAAAGCCTAATCTTTTAAGAGCCTGGAAAGTGCTTCTCTTCCTGATAGCAATCCATCTCTCTAATCCCCTTTTTTCCTCTCCTCAAATTTAAAAAGCTCCCAAGTTCCAAAGGAGCAGTCTAGGCAAAGCTTCAATTCAGGTGTCTTAAGTTTCTGTGTGTCTTCTGTATTCCAGTATACATTCTTTTGGTCTGTAATATCATATCTTATAATAGGATATGTGTTATACAGTTTTTCTTAACATCTTACAGTATACAGGTTACAATTTACATACTGCCTTTTCTACAATGCACAAACCTTAACTTTGACCCCAAGTAAGCTGATTTCGCTAATACCTCATACATGCCCTGGAAAAGAAATGTTGTGTGTGTGCATTGAAGCATGGTGATGCATTTCAAATCCTACAATATTGTCATCACATTAATGAATGTATAAACGTCATTTGACTACTTTGAAAGAACTATTATAAATACATTGAACTTTAAACATGAAAAGAGAATACATAAAATAAAGTAAAATATTAAAATAAAGATAATAGAAATAGTTAGGGATATAAAAATGTAGTTGTGTAAGCTGTTATGTGGCTACACACAGCTGCTGGCCCATCCTGGGACATACCGGCACTCCTTTTAACATCCCTAGAAATAACAAAGCAGTCCATAGGTTAGTGTTGTCATAGCCTTTTTGACAAAATAGGCATTTCTTTATTGAAAAATGTTTTTTACATGACATTTATCATTTAGAAAGCACTTGGTTTACAAAAATAGTTGTGATATAAGTTACAGCGGTTACGTAATTACCCATAACTTTTTCTTTTTAAGAATATTAGTTTGACATCACTAAGCTTGGTTCTGGAATCTTCATTTTGTTTGGAATCGCGTCCCTGACCACTGAATGCAGTGCATAAGATTTTTAGTTCAGGACTGAACTTGCTGCCTCACTCATTTCGGTTAAAGCAACACAAAGCAACCATTCTTGTGTTGGAGCGGTTTCCCACTTCTTGTGGGCAGCCACTTCTGTGCATCTAGTAATGGCATTTGTTTCTTCATCTGCTGAAATGTTTTCTTGACATTGGGATTTGTGGAGGTAAGAGGGAGTTGACTTGCACTGAACTTGTGGCTTTTGTACTTGTGCTATAAACACAAAACCATATTCCTTCATTTTTGTAGCATCTCTCAATAAAATGCATTCCAAAGGCTTTTGAATGGCTTAATAATAGTTTTTGCATTAATATCAAGAGGGGAAAAGCAGGAGGTGCTCTGTAAAGAAGGAAGACATTTTTTTCCTGCTGTTCCCAAGCCTCTAGTAAAAAGACACTAGAAATCTCTTTCCAGTAACAGTACACTAGAGGGTATTTGTGACAGTAACAGCAAGATCATATGAAGGGACAAAAAGACCTAACCACTGCCTACAACAATGGGATCCTGATCCCTGGTTGGGACGCTTTAGCACTAAGATAATACACAATAAATAATAACACATCACAGGAGGATATAAAGAGAGTCAAGAAAGATAAGGCATTGGATGAGGCGAGATCCAAGGAGAATCTTCAAAACAAACATAGCAATGTCTACACAGACCCTGAAATCAATGCAAGCCATTGGAGCTGTTAAAGAGTAGGTCAGTATGGTTACATTTATTTTTTGTGTAAAAAGGAAGGCAGCAACAGTCTACATATATTAAAATCTCTAAGATGTGCACTGTAGTACACGCAGTCACCGACTTACGCGGATCCGACTTATGTCGGATCCGCACTTACGAACGGGGCTTTCTCGCCCCAGAGCTCACAGGCAGCAGTCAGCCACCTTGACCTCCGGGGCGAGAAAAGCTGCTCCCGGTGCCCCTGGTCTGCTGGGGACCGTCTCCAGC